TGCTTGACCTCCTATGCTGTTGCGCACGTCGGCAGCCTCGTATACGGGCTCTTGCACGTCTCCTAGGCCATGCAAACCTTGTTTCGGCCCTTTGCTCGGCCTTCTCGGATAGTATCGGCCTTCGGACCTTCTCTTCTTTGGGGGTCGAAACCCACTTACGCATCAACCTGTCCCTTCACACCGTGGCAAATCTTCTCACGCCATGCCACAGTCGACCTTATATATATACTTGCGCGAGACTTTAGAAAGATTGATCTCTCGACCGGGTGAAAACCCTAGGTCCCGAGCAAACACGAAACACTCTTTCTCCTTCCTTTCTTCTTTCTTTTTCATTTCTTCTTCTTCTCATAATCCTTTTCTTCTATTATTCATCTAGAATTTGTTCTTGCTTTTGGGATAAAGCTTGTAATTCATAGTCAACTCGTGGATTTGCGATTAATGGTAATTTTCTTTTCTCATTTGTTTAATTCATGAATAATGATTGAATTGGGAGAATTGATTATATTTGTTGAATTTGATTTACGTAGCTGATTCTGATTGCTATGGATAGGGGATAATTGTTCTTGTTTAACGTGTATTTGTCAGGCTTTGATTTGTTCATGCTTATGTGAGTTGAATAGATTAAGAATTGATGAATTTGTCTTGATTGATTGATATAATCGAAGAGTGACACTTCGATCATGCAATTGGAAACGATTGAATGTTATTTTGTCGAGTTAGAATTTATTGATTCTACATGATTAGTTGATTAATACTCTTCTAATTGAATTAGCGACTTTTAAAATCGAAAGGGGAGAAGTCGTAGACCTAGGCTCTAATGAGGTAGATAATTTCGTAACTGAATAGTCTATATGTTTTGGATTGAAATACGTGCTCGTCGGTGACCCGTCCCTTACGAAAAGTTATTGGGATTGGGATAATTGGCGTGTATTGTATGCTCGAGCTTGCTCGTCTATGTTCAATCTCTTGTTACGAAGAGTTATTGGGAGAGAACCGCTAGATTTTTAAGTGAGAGCGTCAATCTGGATTAGAACGATTAATGTCCCGGTTTGCAAATAGAACTTGAATTGATTATCCCCGACTCCCTAGCTTCTCCATCTTTGTTTCATTCATATTTTTGGGTAGATTATTTGTTTTTATATTATTTCTTAGTTGGTGATTATTCTTCCCATTTTTCGTTTGAATGTTTAGGATTTATTTTGCTTTTATGTGCTATCAATATCAAAGCTAAATTCTGAACCGTCTTCCTCGTGAGATCGACCTGGGGAACGAATCTGTCAGTTCGATATTCGGTAAAAAATAACAATTTGTACACAACAACGTGCGAAGGAGGTATGCGAGCAGGGGCGGACACAAAGAGGTGTCCGCAGGGGCACGACCCCTGTACAATTTTTTAAAAAAGAACTTATATATGTAGATATTAGAAAAAAAATATAGTATTTCTATATATGTAGAAATTAGAAAAAAAAAAATATATAGTATTTCTATATATGTAGAAATTAGAAAAAATAAATAAATATATATTTCTTCTATACAAATTTTTGCTTATCTTATTTATTAAAAATAATGATTTTAGTAGTTCATTTATTTTTTTTTTCTAAATCCAATAATTATAATAGAGTTTTATAAAACAACCACTCCATGTAAAAAAAATCTAATAAATAATCTCACAATCATGTCTTGAAAAAAAAACTAAATGTTAATTATTCCTTAATCCCATCTTGAACCCGACTATTATTTTTATTTATTCATTTTTTCACCTGTCAACTTTATAATTTATATTTTAGTTCTTGTACACCTATATTTATTTTAAGGGATTTTAAGAATTGATATGATACCACTTTAGAGCTTTCATAATTTTGATGTCTTGATCCTAATTCAAATATCTAAATGTTTTGTTTTAAATTTCATGCATACTTTATGTAAGTGTTTTCAATTTTAGTCATAACATTTTAAACAAGCAATCAAACTGTACTTATTGATTACTAATTTATATGACTTTTATGTATTCATTGTCAATAAACATTATAAACAGAAGTCCGCATATGGACGTTAAAAGACATAAGATAACAAAATAATAAGTTTGATGTTTGAAAAAGATTAATTTGATAATATTGAAAATAATGTAATTATCAAATGATGCAAAATATAGAAATATAGAAAGAATGATTTTAAAATAATATTATTTTATTTTTTTGGCATTTCGTAAAAGTTACATTGTGCCCCCTCAACTTTACAAGTATGTGTCCGCCCCTGTATGCGAGCAATATCTCGCATAACTGAAAGATAAAAGAAATAAAAAAATAAACTTTCGAGTAGAAGTGCGAATGGGGTATGCGAGCAATGTGGAGCAATTCGCATACCCCTCGCATAACTGAAAGATGAAAGAAATAAAAAATAAACTTTCGAGTAGAAGTGCGAAGGGGTTATGCGAGCAATATGCGGCGATTCGGATACCCCCTCGCATAAATGAAAAAATGAAAGAAATAAAAAATAAACTTTCGAGTAGAGGTGCGAAGGAAGTATGCGAGCAATATCTCGCATAACTGAAAGATGAAAGAAATAAAAATAAAAATAAGAAAAAAAAAAAGAAAACTTTTGAGTAGAAATGCGAACGGGATATGCGAGGAATATGCGGCAATTCGCATACCCCCTTCGCATAACTGAAAGATGAAAGATATATAAAATAAACATAGTAGAAATGCGAATGGGGTATGCGAGCAATATCTCGCATAACTGAAAGATAAAAGAAATAAAAAATAAATTTCGAGTAGAAGTGCGAAGGGGGTATGCGAGCAATATGCGGCAATTCGCATACCCCCTCGGATAACTGAAAGATAAAAGAAATAAAAAATAAATTTTCGAGTAGAAATGCGAAGGGGGTGTGCGAGCAATATCTCGCATAACTGAAAGATGAAAGAAATAAAAATAAACTTTCGAGTCGAAGTGCGACGGGGGTATGCGAGTAATATCTCGCGTAACCGAAATATAATACATATCTTATTTTTTTATTTTTCTTTGTTTTATTCATGAAAATGTATTAATCAACAAATTGTGTTTACAATTACATATATTTTACAGTTTTTTTTTTTTTTTTTTTTTTTTTTTTTTTTTTTTTTTTTTTTT